AGAAAATGTAGTCGCTGTAGGTTTATCCTTTCAAAAAATGAGACGAGCCTCGCCAAATAAAAAAATGCAAATTGCGAGGCCCTCAATAATTGGTCGTAATAAAATACGTAGAATTCGGGATGGACTGTTTAGTGAATTTCACTGCCTTCCCCAAAGATAATAACGCGTTAGACTCTTTAGGCGTGACTTAATTAAATTACATTCTTAAATTCGGGTGCGCATTTATGTGACCCAAATTCAAATCTCAACGGAGTTGGAATGTGTTAACAACCACGAGCGCATTGATTGTGACGTGGTTCGAGATGCATTTTCACGACGTTGCAATTCTATAAAATTAATAATAATAAAAGCGGTTTAAACTTAATAAAAGCACATAAGTTATAACATGTATTAAATCAAATATTTAGCCATTATAACAATTTAAGCGACCGTGCTAGAACCACGGGATTCGAGGGTGCCTAACACCTTCCCTCGGGTCAACAGAATTCCTTACTTAGAATTTCTGGTTCGCAGACTTCATTTGGAAAGTCGAATATTTTCCTCGATTTGGGATTCAAGATAAACCGGTGACTTGAGACACCAGAAGCCAAACCTTTCCCAAGTGGCGACTCTAAATTAAATAAATAATCTCACTTCGAATATTGTCACTTAAATTGGAAAAACTCCCTCGCGCATTTTACCCTCCGGGGCGGGCGCGCAAAAATGAGGTGTGACATTAAGTCACTAAAAATAGCCATTATTTTATGCGAAAATAAATATGGACAAAAATATCCTTGCTGAAACACGAAAAGTTCCAGAATAATATGCTGGATTATGGAGCTTCAGCGTATAAACTTACAGTATATTATGCTGGAACTCCATCACATTATGAAAGACATTATTGTGGAATCTCATATGTAAAAAATTCGAACTCCATCATATTATTCTAGAATGTTTTCAGATTTTAAGGATGTTTTGTTTAGATTTTATCTTTATATGAAAAACACCTAAATTCTGATTACTTTTGAAACTCTGACTATTTTTCAATTATCAATTATAAATCGAGCTATTTCTTTTTTTCCCCTTATCAATGTTGTTTTGTATATTAGAATGCCATGGTAATTTCTTGATTTTGGCAAGAGGAGAGAAATTTGTCAAACTCGAGTTTTGTATTATTTTCAAGATTATAAATCTCACATTTTAATTAGGGAGCTTATCTGTAAATGTTCTTGGGATATGACTCAATAGTATAAATTTTTTACTTATATATACTGTCGCTTTGAATACGGCCAAAATCGGGCTTGTCCTGGAACAAGGCAGGCCAAGGTTCGATCCCATGTTATATCGGACCGCAGTGTAAAGATAGATTGCTGAGCTCGTGACCCAGAGACCGATCGAGATCGAGGTCGGCCAAGATTGAAACCAGTCGGGATAGAGATCTAGCAAGATCGAGGGAAGTTTACCGAGCCAAATAACGGAAAGCCAAAATATCCGCAATCGAGCGAGGATCACGGCAGAAATCTCGGCACATATCAAGAAGAGGCCGATTAATTAGCTAATCATAGGATTTCTTACTGTATTTAGAATTATATTAAAGGTAGGACTCCCCTACTATATAAAGAGGGTCTGGTCATTTGTAAAAGGCATCATATTCATGCAATACAAAGCAATATATTACCTTTCTCTTAAGCTCTCAATACTCTATTACTTTGTTCATATTTTCCACTAGAGTATTCGCTTGGTTCGAGGGCGACCTAGCTCGAAGGCCAAAGCTATACAATTCCTTTGGTTTTCTTTTATTTCTATTTGCAATTAATTTCAATATCAATTTACGTATTTTTTCAGTTTGTGCCAAGTAAAATCATGTGTCCTTAAAACCACGTATAAATTCAATTGTTATCCGTTTTTAAGGTAAACACGCTTATAAGTTAAACTCATCCAATAATTGCTCACGCAAAGTAAGTATTTAAACGACCAAACTACAACATTCTGTGCTTACTGCTCACAACTCTTCAAAAAAAATGTAGAAGAGGAGGAAATTGATGATAGGCTATAATTGTGTATTTTGGTCGCTTATTACACTCTAATTTACTGTACTTTAATTGAGTTTGAGCTCTAATCGCTAGTCTTTTGCACTAAATATGTGTTTGATACCTTGTAGGAGTGATTCCGATCTATGTAGGCATTATGGGATGTATTCAAGTGATTTGGAGCTTTAAAATCTGAGTAAAAGCCCAAGACATTAAGCCGGTATCGTGTTCGGAGGTCGTGTACCAAGTCCGGATGTTAAAAGAGGACAAAATAAGTTCACTCTACACTGCCGCACTGCATGGGACACCACAAGGCACGACGCAGCAGTGTAAAATGTTGTCTGATGTGAAAATTTGAGGCTGCTGATAAACTCCATTAGCGCGGCGCATGGTGCGGCGCGACTGTACAAAATTTATAGAGCCAGAGTCCTATTTCGCGCGGGAGAAGGTGTTTTCGTCTGGGCCCAACCCTACTTGGTATATATACATATAAAAATGTTATTTTGAGGATTTTGGAGGGAGCTTAGCCTGGAGAGACACACTTTGGAGTAAAAATACACACAAGAACATCTCAGATTTCGTCATCTTTTCTAGTATTTTTAATTATTCAAAACTTATGCAATTGTTTGATTTCAACATGAGTGGCTAAACACCCATTGTTCTGGGGTTGTGATTTAGCCATGAATATTGTTGTTTGAAATTAACTTAACCTTGATTATAATTCACCAATATATGGTTGTTTCTTCAATTCTGTGTTTAATTGCTTAATTGTCTGGCCAATAGTTAGGTTCTATTTACCATCTATGCTATGCTTGGGAAAGCCATGTTTAGATTAGAGAAGAATTGAAGAGAGCATGATCTTAACCCTTAAGGGGAGAGGATTTGTGGTTATGATAGGAATATACCTAGTCACCGTGCTTAATTAAATATCGTGATCTTAATGCGTTCTTAATAGATTGATTTCATAGGAATATAGGCGTTAATCTATTGAGAATAGGTGAGTAGTACTTCGGGAGAAGGCTATGAGAGCATTTATCGATTAATTAGCAACCATGAGTGAATTATATGAAAGAGAGAGTTAATTAGAACATAATAGGACTGATGAATCGATCACAACCCTGGAATAGTTGTCTCTATTGAATACAAAACAATCATTCTACTGCTTGATAATTTAGTTATTACTTAGAATTGTAGTTAGCATAATTAAACTCTTGAACTCGAACTTAGCTTGACTAAATAACAATATTGTTATGTTAGTGAGTAGTTGATATAAGTCTCTGTGGGTTTGACACTCGACTTATCATTTTATTACTTGTATGACCATGTATACTTGCGTGTGCATTTGGAAGTAACAAGTTTTTGGCGCCGTTGCCGGGGACGTAAAAATTAGCTACTTTGCTGACTTAAGCCTTTATTAGTTATTTGTTCAAGTTTTAATTTTCAGTTTACCTTGTTTGTGTTAGCACATGCTCTTCTCTTAAATGCGGAAGAGTAGAAGCGCAAACAATCTCCTTCCTCTTGATCCTGAAATTGAACGGACACTTCACAGAGTGTGGAGGGAGGTCGAAGCTAGAACTAGAATAGAAATAGAGTTGGACATCATAGTTCAACCACATCCAATAGAGATGGCAGGTAATGTAGAGCGTGCGGTGATAGAAGCCGCAAGGCCCGATCTTGCTAATATGACTCAGGCTATTGTGAAGCCTGAGATCACAGGGCACTTTGAACTCAAACAGTTCATGGTACAGTTGATTCAGTCCACAAGGCAATATGTAGGTCTATCTCATAAAGATCCGTAGAGGCACATTCAGAATTTCTTGGAAATTACGGACACCTACAATTATCTGAACGTTTCCAAGGACTATGTCAGGCTGACACTTTTTCCCTTTTCACTGCTGGGGGAAGCTAAGGAATGGTTACAGAAAGAGCCCGCGAACTCAATCCACACTTGGGATGATCTAGCAAGGAAATTCTTAATCAAGTTTTTCCCTACCAATAAGACAAAGTCATTGAGGAGTCAAATCCTTGGGTTCAAACAACGGGATGGAGAGACACTTCGTCAAGCCTGGGAAAGATACAAGAAGCTACTCAGAGATCGCCTACACCATTGTCAGACTGATGAGGTATTTGGAAACACTTTTGTTGATGGGCTAGATGAGGCCTCAAAGATGAATCTTGATTCAGCTTGTGGGGGTAGTTGTATGGCGAAACCATATAGTGAAATTCAACTCTTGCTGAATAACTTCACTGCTAATGATCATAACTGGCAAGGAGATGGGATTCATGCAAGGCAAGTAAATAGAAGACAGCCGGGTTGATTGAGCTTGATGACCTCTCGGCCATGAGAGCGAAGATAGCAAAATTGGCAAACCAAATGAATAGAATGACAATGCAACAAACACAACAGATGCAACATGTACAACAGATGTCTCTTTGCTGCGAACTATGTGGTGACAACCATATGAGTGACATGTGCTCCACGAATCCAGAATCTATATACTATGTGGGACAGTAGAGCAGGGGTCCAATGAATCAGAATGCACAATATGGGAAAACTTATAACCCAAATTGGAAGAATCATCCCAACTTCTCATGGGGTGGAAATCAGCCGAATCAACCTCAGAAGCCACCTCAACAGGTAGAAGAGAAAGGGAATGATTTGTTGAAGCAGTTGTTGCTTGACAATCAATAGCTCAGGAACGATTTCAGAAATTTGGAGCGCCAAATGGGACAACTTGCCAATGCTCAAAACACTAGCCAGCTGGAGCTCTTCCAAGTGATACTAAGCCCAATCCTAAAGCTCAAGTCAATGCGGTTACCTTGAGAAATGGAAGAGCACTAGAAGAAGTTCCAAAGAAAAAGAAGAATACAGATCATCCTGAAGGAGAATTAGCTCCCAAGCCAGTTGAGGGGAATGATAAAGATGATAAAGGACTCAAGCCAGTAAGTGAGACTAGGCCACCACCTCCGTTTCCACAAAGACTCCAGAAGCAAAAAGATGATGCTAAGTACAAGAAATTCCTAGATATTTTGAGCCAAGTGAGTGTGAATCTGCCTTTGGTGGAAATTTGCAGGAAGTGCCTAAGTATGCAAGGTATCTCAGAGATATTGTGACAAACAAACAAAGACATGCAGAGTTTGAAACAGTTGCACTTACTGAAGAGTGCAGTGCCAGAGTTCAGAGTAAATTTCCTCCAAAGTTGAAGGATCCTGGGAGTTTCACAATTCCTTTGTCTCTTGGAAAACAAGAAGTTGGTAGAGCTTTGTGTGATTTAGGGGCCAGTATAAATTTGATGCCATCCTCTTTGTTCAAGCAACTCGGACTGGGGGCGCTTAGACCTACTACAATCACTTTATAGCTAGAAGATAGGTCACTAGTCATGCCCGAAGGAATTATTGAGGATGTGTTAGTTCGAGTAGGAAAGTTTATTCTTCCTGCTGATTTTATTGTTCTTGATTACGAGGCAGATGTGGAAGTGCCCATTATTTTGGGACGACCATTCTTAGCTATTGGTGGAGCAATTATTGATGTGAGAGCAGGAAAGTTAAAAATGAGAGTTGACGATGAGGAGGTCACTTTTAATGTGTACAAGGCACTTAAGCTTCCTAAGCTTTATGAGGACTTGTGCATGATTACTGTGGTAGAATCGAAGGGGATAAAGCAGAGTCCTTATGTGGATTATACTGATCCAGATGGGACAACTGAGTTAAAGGAGGTGGTATTTCCAGCTGAACGTGTTAAGATGATTGAGAAAAGAACCAGAGATGAAAGAGGAGACCTTACGAGAGCGTGAAAAAAGGCTAGATTTCATGGGAGAAAGAAGAAGCGAAAGTGCCCAGCCTGAGCAGAATAGCAGATTCGTGCCACGACTATAAATAAGGCGCTTGTTAGGAGGCAACCCAACCTGCATATCTTTTATCTATTGATTAATTTTTTTGTGTCAAGTTTTGTGTTATTTTTATTTTTGCAGAGTAGGGAAAGTCTGAATACCCAAAGTTGAAGTGTCACGATCCAGATTTCCTACCATCGGGTGTCGTGATGGCGCCTACTATCGGAGCTAGGCAAGCCAAATATTTAAAACACCTTTCCTGCTTTCTTTCAACCAATATAATAAACGATAAAAAATTTAAGCGGAAGACTTTAAATCTAAAGCAACTGAAAACCAAAAGTGCGGGAGTTAATACACATCACTACCCAAGGTCTGGTGTCACTAGCTCACGNCACGACCCGGATTTCCCACCATCGGGTGTCGTGATGGCGCCTACTATCGGAGCTAGGCAAGCCAAATATTTAAAACACCTTTCCTGCTTTCTTTCAACCAATATAATAAACGATAAAAAATTTAAGCGGAAGACTTTAAATCTAAAGCAACTGAAAACCAAAAGTGCGGGAGTTAATACACATCACTACCCAAGGTCTGGTGTCACGAGCTCACGGACTACTACGGAATACTACAAACAATGACTGAAGAGAAATACATCATGTTTGCCTGATACAAGATGAACAAACAAAAAACATAGAAAGGGACTTCGACCTGCGAACGCCAGCTAGGCTACCTCGAGAGTCCCTGGACTGAAGATAGCTCCTAGAAGTCCAACTGCTGTGGCCCGTAGGCTGCTCCTAGATCTGTGCACAAAAATGCACAGAGTGTAGCATCAGTACAACCGACCCCATGTGCTGGTAAGTGTCTGGCCTAACCCCGGCAAAGTAGTGACGAGGCTAGACATGACCTACCATAATTAACCTGTACAGATATATATACAAGTGTAAGAAAACAATAACAAGATAATACAAAGTAAAGCTAGGAGGGGACATG